CTACGCTCGTTTCTTTCTTATAACATTTGAAGAGAGCCAAAGCAACCCCACCTAGGCTCTCTCTACTATTGCTTCTTCTATCCTAAGCCTTTCTTTGCTTCATTGTCCCAAACTTTAATAAACATACTCTCAAAATAAAAAAAAAATCACAAACGTGAGCTTATAAGATAAGCACAAATATGCAACCTCTGCGAGCATGTGTTTTATATATTGGGGTTCTGCCTTCAAGTTTCACTACCTTTTAAAAAAGTTAAAGGAGCTGATGGTGAAGATCCTTTGGGCTGCAGCCCTAACTTTGCTACCATTCATGGTTTAGCAACTCTGGGCCTCAGTTTCTTCCTATAAAATGGGAACAGAGACCCCCATTTCACAGGTTTGTTAGGAGAGCAAAAGCAAATAACTAAAACACATTTTAAAGAATTAAAAGTGCAAAGCCAAAACTTTATGATGATCCATTTCCTCCTCCATTAAGTGTGAACAGTGATGCTGCAACTATAATCAATAATATTATGAATAACAGATTAATTAAAATGTCATTGTTCAAAAAAAGATCCCCAAGTCTGCTATGTGCACCCAACAGGGTGCTTCCTGCTTTACCCCTTGAAGCCTCCAGGAATGCTCCCTGCAGCCCGTGAGGCCAGCTTCATCACCCCACATACAGATGGGACTTTGAGCAAACAACAGTAGCTGCCTCCTCTGCGTTCTGGACTTTCTTTGAGACCTCAATGTGATAGCACATGAAAATCAATGCAAGTACAAATGGGTTGTGACATTATAGGATTTCAATAGGAGCAGTAGCATTAATGTGGAGTTAAGCCCGTGCCCTGTGTGTGTGTGCTTTCCTGGGCCAGCCCCTCCTTACCGGAACAGAGGAAATGTTTGCAGTGTGGCCCTGTTGGGAACAGTGGGTGCAAGCCCTCAGTGTGGCTTCAGGGTCCCTGGCTCAAAGCAGGCATGACTGTTGACTCTGTGAAGCTCAACCAGCTGGAGCAGAACGTGCCACCGGGGCCCTGGAAGGCAGCCAGCATTCACCAGAAACGGCTTGCTCTTCACCAGACAATGAGTCCACTGTTAACTTGTGGGGCCTTGATTAATATTTGCAAAAGGAACAAAGTGGAAAATTCCACCTGTGTGGGTGGAGGTAGGGCCTGGGACATGTCAACAACCCCAATGGCCTTTTCCTCCCAATATGGATCTGGCAGGTATACAAAGGTCTGATAACAGTGACAGAACCTGAGCGTCACTTGGGTCTAAGGGAGTTTCCCTATTTGGATCATAGAGATATTTGTTTTTTATTGTTCTGCCTCCCACAGTACCTTTAAATCTTTCAACTTTCCTCCTATCTCTTCAGAGTCACCCGACAGCCCTTGCCAGTCCAGCAGAACTGATGTCAAACCCATGTTATAGATGAGGGTGACTTAAGCTCCAAGACAGCAAGAGTCTCCCCCAAGGCTGCAGCTGGTGAGTGAGTAGCTCAGCCAGGAGACATGGAGCCGTGGGATCTCAACCCCTCAGCGGTGACACAGAGCCTGTCTCGGGCAGTCTAGGGTCAGGGACCATGGGTGCTGGACAGAGTGATCTTCCAGCTCTAGTAGAGTCCCTGGCCTTCACCCACTGGAGGAGGACAAGGAGCAAGCCCAACTCAGTTCTCCCAGATGGGCAGGCTTAGGTGCTAGCCTTTGAGGAAAACATGCATTCACTCATTCATTCAAGCATTTAACGAGAGTCTATGAAATACCCAACATAAAGTGACACTGCACAGTGGCTCTTTCAGACACACATACCTGGAAGAGTTCATGACCAAAGTGGGAAGGTCAGAGTATCTCCAAAGGTCACTTCCTTGAAAGACTTGAGTCACTTTATTTAGCCCTTTTCAATACACTCTCATCTGCCCATTTTACAGAACTGAAAAAGGAGGCTCTAGAATGATAGTTACTTTCCCAAGGTCACAGAGAGAGAAGAGGCTGGGACCTCCTGACCTGCTGTGGCCCTGCCTCCAATTTATAAAGCCACAGCATTACTGAGCTTAGGCATTCAAACAAATGGTATACCTTCTAGCAGGCCACTTTAGAAGCTGCACACTAATCAACAAGGACCTTTCATAGAGAAACACTTTTTGGAATGACATTCCGAGCAATGTGGAACCTCCTGAGAAGACAGGCAGGCACACCTGTATTGCCCACGGAATACACCAGGTGAGGTTGCAGGGCTCACCTCTCCATCCTTCACTCTGTTCCTGTCTACAGAGGTGATCAAGGGCATCATCCCCATCCAACAGAGGGTCACAGCCAGAGTAGTGTCATATCTCTGGCCCACACCCCTCAAGCCTGGACCCAGGGCAGTGGATGGGAGTACTCACTCAGTCTATGTCTCCCATCAGTGCCCAGCACTCCTCCTTCCCCGCCTATCCACAAGCTCAGCAACCTCTACACCACCCTCACATCACCCTTTTTCTCTCCTTTGACCACCATCTTCTTCCCTGAAGAATCTTAGCTTTACCTTTTATTAAAACAAAGCCACTCTCACCATATTCCCATATCTAAACCCACTTACTCCCATTCCCCCCTTACCGGCTCTTGCCAAACCACACCTGATTGTCAGTGACCTAAGCCAGGGGGGCCCCTCAGGCCAGATGCAGCCACTATGGAGCAGGGCCTCTGCAGGTCAGGAGGTCTCAGCCTCCTCTTTCTGTGACATCTGCCCCATCTGACCCCACAAATTGCCCCTGTACTCCCCATGCATCTCCTCCTAGCCTTCACCTCCACAAAGCTCTTCTCCCCTGGGCCCTATCCTCCTCTCCTCTCTACCACCCCCTATAAATGTCTGCCTCACATATCCTATCTCCAGGCTTCACCTCTGCATCCCTGGTGTCTCCAAAGCCCTCACAAGCAACTCCTTTCTATAGAAGGGCCTGCTTTGGCACACAACTGAAAATTCAACACAGCTCGGAGCCTAGCCTGTGGCAGGGACTCAGCTATGTGAAGTAGTTTGGTTAGCAGCTACCTCCCTACTGGTCTCAGAGGGGCTGGCATCCTACTGCCCTGCACAGTCAACCAGGCAGCCTTTCTAAAACTGAAAACTGACCACCACCTAAACCTCTGCTGTGGTTCCTTGGCACCATGGGACAAAGTTCATGATCTCAAGCTGGCAGAAGAGGCTATTTCGATCTGTACTTTCACAGCAGGGCAGGCACATGTGCCCTTCAACATACTCTCATTGCACTCACCCTCAGTCCAAGAGAGCCCATGAGCCAACACCCATGTGTCGTTAACCTTTGCACCCAGTACTGGCACCCTGCAGGTGTTTGCTAAGAAAGACAGGCAACTATTAGAGCTGGAGATGATCTCAGGAACCACAGGGCTCAAACCTACTCAGAAAGCTTGAGCGAGGGGTTCAGGATCACCCAGCCGCAGGCAGGGGTGAGGTAACAATCCCACCTGAACCTTTCTCTTTGGTCAGGAACCAGACCAATCCTCTGGAAATGTCACCTAGAACCTCATCAGTATGCATGTCAGAACCCCCAGCTGACCTTGAAGCTGGGCCCTGTCCATGCAGGCCCAAATCTGAATCTGACAGGCAGGCCAGGCCTGGCATACAGTAGGACCACAGCAAGAACAGATGCTTGACTCTCATCTGATAAGTCAACCTCTCATCAATTACATCCATAAGACCCACATCCCTCTTTAGGTCTTGGTCTCCTCATCTATAGAAAGGAGCTAATTTAGCTTATAAGTTTAAGTGATCTTGACTGGTCAACCCACCTTGTCCTTTGCAAAACAGAGAAGGCTGAAGCAGCAGAATTGCAAGCTGTGTGATCTGTGATCCACTGTTTGCCCAGCTGAAATTTGTTACTCTTCCCCCAGCTGCACTGTCTCTCCCATCCAAGTACTAACCAGGCCCGACCCTGCTTAGCTTCTGAGAGCAGATGAGATCAGGTGCGTTCAGGATGGTATGACCGTAGACCACACTGTCTCTCAAAAACAAACAAACAACCCCCCCCCCAAAAAAAACACCTGCCCCTGCTCCCCAACCTGTGTCAGAATTACCAGAGAGGGCTTGTTAAATGCAAATCCCAGCCTCTGCACTACCTGTGGCGGTTGGTAGGCATCTCTGAACAAGGGCCCAAAATTTCCATTTAAAGCAATGCTGAGAAATCCTGGACACACTGAAACTGGAGAATCAAAATTCCAAACTAGACCAATCCTCTAAAAATGTCACCTGGACCCTACATATATGCATGCCAGAACCCAACTGATATTGAGGCTGGACCCACTCCATGCAGGCCCAAAGCTGAACCCAGCAGGTGGGCCAAACCTGGCACATAGTAGGACCACAGCAAAAACAGCCTTGGGAGCCCCAAGCATTACTGTCAGGCTTCATTTTGGGGAGATCTACAATGACTAGAAAAGCCTGGGATGGAATAGGGGAATAAATAACATAGAACTTAGTTCCTGCAATAAACTAGCTCCGGGAAGAACTAAGTTAAGGCTGTGACTGCTCCTGTCCCATCCCTTTTGCGCCAGTGGGGCTCGCCCTTGCATAAAGTGGTGCCCCAGTCTCAGCTTCTAGCCCGGGCGCTTCCAACTCACCAAAGCTCTGGCCTGAGGCCGCGGGAGGCTGCAGCCAGGGCCGTACGGGGCAGGGGCAGGGGCAGGCGGCAACGCTACGGGCTTGGTCAGCCGGGTGTCGGGGCACGTACCCCGCTACTCACCCTGGGCAGCTAGGGCCGAATGGTGGGACAGTGGACTGTGGCGGAGCGTGAGGAGCAGAGGCGGAGCAGGAGCGGGCGGCGGCAGCCTGGCCCTGCCCCGCTACACTTTAACTGTCCGCGCCGGCGCACCGCGCGCTCTCTGCGACCGGGAGAGGAACCGCGGGCGTCTCGCACTCGGTCAGCTCGGGGCAGTGACTGGAGCGCCAGGCTGCGAGCACCAGGCTGGCAGGCTGGCTCGGGCGGGCGGGGCGCGCGCAGCCCCAGAAGTGAATGCAATCGTGCACCTGGCTCACTGCTTGCACGTGTGCACGGGGTTGACAAGCGCTGCTGCTTGCTGGGCGTGCTTGGCTTGCGAAGGGTCGCGAGCCCCTGGACCCGGCCCATCCCTCCGAATCTGGCGGACTAGGGTTCTTTCACGTTCCCCACCGGAGGAGGGAATGGTGGGGCCAGGGTGGCGCTGTGGGAGGCGGAGCCTGGAGGGGTGGCCTGGGGCGCCTGGATAAGAGCGCCGCGGGAGGCGGGACGGGGCCCGGCACCGTAGGGAGCGGTGACCCTGAGATGTTGTTAGTGCTGCTGAGCTTGGTCGCGCTGAGTTGGGGTGCGGTGTTCCCAGAGCCGGTAAGACCCCGTCTGCGCCTCTTTCCCTCATTTACTGCCCTGGAGTCCCGACCCTGAAGGTGGCCGACCGGCCAGTTCATACCTCTTCAATGTGTTTGCGGAGTGCGGTCTAGAGAGAGCAAGTCTGTACCCCTAGGGCAGCCCAGCTTGTCCTGGCCAGTCGGCACCGGGCTTCAGGCAGCATGAGTCAGCGGAGTGGCAATCGGACAGACCCAGGTTCGAATGTCACTCTATATTCTTAATCCAGTCATTTATGCTCACTGAACCTCGGTGTCCTCATCTATGAAACAAAGGGTAATACCTAACTCACCAGAGTCTAGGGAGGGACAGGGAAGGCCTGTGAGACAGCAGCAAAGAGCCCAGTAGGTAGTAGGTGCTCAATATTGTTCTTCTGGGGGTCTTGAAGTCTGCCCACTTTTTGGAGCACAAGAGCTGCTTCTCTATTACCAGTCACCCTTTTTGTCATGTTGATTCATGTTGTGCTGAGGTGTCTTGTCCCTGAAGCTGGTAAGTCCCGAACTCTCCTTCAGGAGTTTCCTTTCTTCCCCAGTGCCTTGAAGGGCTGAGGAAATCTGATTCACTAAAGAAGAAAACGCTCATTGGCAAAATAGTATTTGAAATTATATCCCTACCTTTTTAGCACGGCATATAACATAAAAGCATAGTGGTTACCTGGTAATGGTTATGGAGAGAGAAACCCCATTCACGTGCCCTGATGTCTTCAGCCAGCGAGGATCCTTGCTGCACCGCTGTCTCAATTTGGCACCCCCTCGGCCTTTCCCACTAGAGAACAAATTCATTGCCTTTGCAGTGGTTGTTGTCAGGCCAACAGTCTGAACTCTAAATTTTAGAGCTGTTGCTATGCTTCCTGCAACCTGTATTATCAGCCTTTTGACAGAACTCAGCTCCGGTTGTGGTGGCTTATTTGTCTTTAAAAATGCCTCATGGTATCGTCCCTTGGAGTTCAGCTTCAAAAAGACAAAGGTGAGCGACTGACAGTTTCTCCTAAACCCAGATGACTCAAACCATCAAGTCTTGCCTTTTGTCTTACAAGGTGTTTGGAAATGTTGAGCCTGAGAGGGGATCAGCTTCCAGACCTGGTGGACGTACCACACTGAGTCTTGTCACTAGTACTTGCTGCTGCCTGAAAGGTCCAATATTTTATTCCAAAACCAAAGTATTGTATCATCTAATTAAAAACCATGAGCAGTGAATTCCAAAAGATGTAGTAGTGGCCTTGCTTGGGCACTGATGATACGTATTTTTTAAGTTCTTTTGAAAAGATAACATGTGATCACAATTGCTTTATGATTTTATAAATAGCTCAGGTAAGTTGGTCTTTTTGTATTAGAAGAGGAATGTTTTAATGTTTTAAAGAACCTGGAGAGAGTACCATGAAATGCATTTATGGCTTGCTTCTGTTCATCTTCTTAGCACAGGCAATCCTTAACCCGGGGAAAATTTAAAAACAAACAAACAAAACCTCTATTGGCCCTGAAAACCTATGGTTATACGTTAGAGTGTGAAGGGGTTTTCATGATGGTCCAGAGTCATCCCCTCTGGTCTTGAAGTGAGGTGATAAGCAGGCTTAAGGATCTAGTATACGGATGGCTGATCTTTGGTCCATCATAGCTAGCTACATGGGGAGCTTAGTCTCCCCCAAACTGAGAAGTGGACTAGCTCAGCTTTTCTTTGAGCATTTGTTACTTGTGTAGACATTTAAGGAAAAAAGATAGTATTTCAACTAATTTGGCTTGTGGTTTGCTGGCATTTAGCATGATACTTGGTTTCTTTCTCTCCTGCAGGCGATTCAGTGTGGCTCTGAAAATGGTAGGTGCACTAGGAAATGGGTATTTGGGGCTTCACATCGAAACTGAAAGCACAGTTGGACTTTTACAGGCCCAAAGCCAGGTAGTGGGTCATCAGAGACCAGGCTTCGGGTGAACCATTGCTTTGTTAGCTGATGCACAAGAAGCCTTTCTCTGCCCGAGGCAGAGCTCCCGGTGTTTCAGATCAGCTGGCTTCCTGGCCAGTAAGACAGTAAAAGGGGCAGAGGCAGGGCAGGAATGTCTGGGCAAGGCAGAAAGTGAAGTGTGCCACTCCTGAGAGGGAGATGGAATGCTGTGGGAAGGAGGTCACTTATACTCAGAAACAGTAAGCAAGTGTTTTAGGGGAGTGTTTGAGATCATAGCATTTAAAGACTAGGTGGACTTCGGCCCAAGAAATGTAGATGAGGAGGGTGAGGGGGTCGGGGGCGGGGGAGATGGTACTGGCAAAGCTTAGGAGGTAGGAAGTGAGAGTTGGTGGGCCAGCTGGCTGGAGCCCAGGCTGAGGCATGGGGAAGGCAGGACTGAGCCCAAAAACATGTCAAATACACTAAACACACACATACGTACATACACACACACACAGAGTCACCTGGAATGGTCCCAAGTGCTCTGTAGATTGGGGCCAGGAGGTTGAGTATCACCTCGGTTATAATTCAGTCAATGCTGAGAAATGTCTGGCCTGCCTCAGCAAGAACAAAGACAGGTTGTGAATGAGGGTCAGATCAGGGTGGGTCACTTAGAGGAGATGTCATCGAATTGGGCCAAGGAGGGATGTGTCATGGGCAGTCTCACCTTCTCCCAGGACCATCTCCAGAGTGGATGGTCAACCACACTCTGACCCCAGGAGACTTGAGGGACCTTCGAGTGGAATCTGTTAAAACCAGTGTTGCAACAGAGGACTATTCAATTTTGATGAACATAAGCTGGATACTCCGGGCAGATGGTAAGTTTTCATCAATCAAAGTTAAGCGGCCTAAAGCAGACGTGTGCAGACTATAGGATTCATTAATTTTATTCCTAGACATATACCCAGAAGAATATATATATACATGTACCCAAAAACACATGCTAGAATATTCATAGTAGCATTATTCACAACAGGCAAAAAATGGAAAGCACTCAAATTCCTGACTAGAATTGGAGTCACAGAATGGAATCCAATACAGGAATGAGCACGAACAATCTATAATGATACACAATCTGGAAGAATCTCTCATGTCCAAGAAGCTAGATTCAAAAGAATTCCTACAGTCATATCTGCATGTTTGCCTACAGTTGTACAAACTATATGATTCCATTAATTAAAGATGCAAAACAAGCAACACTAATCTAAGCAGTTAGGAGTCAGGACAGTGGTTCCATTGTGGTGGGGGTGACTGAAAGGAAAAGCATAAGAGACATCCCTGGGTGTTCCTTGACCTGGGTACCGACTGCATGAGTGTGCACACTCATTTGGTGGAACACATCTGATCTGTGTACCTCTTTGTATGTAATGTTACATCTCATGGAAGAAGATGTGGTAAGGCCAGAGATGATCCCCCAGGTTTAGGAAAAGCATTGGCTTGGGTGGTGAACATGCAATGCAATATACAGATGATGTATTATAGAATTGTATACTTGAAACCTCTATTATTTTATTAACCTACATCACCCCAATAAATTCAATGAAAACAAAATTTAAAAAATGAAAGGCAGTAACTTGGATAGATTACTGTTTCCACTTCCCAGTGGCATTGTGGAAGTCCTGGCATTCCCTCAAGGCAGCTTGTGTGTTCTTTTGATGAACAAATTCTGGGGGCCTGAAGCTCATGTCTGTGGCTTCCACCTGCTAAATTCAGTTAAATTCCATCTGTTCAGGAATCTGGGAATACCAGGCACAGAGAGGTGAGTCAGCTACAGGCACAGTCACAGGGACAGTGTCAGGAATCCCTCAAGGAGCTGTGAGTGGATGGGGGCAGGGAGGAAAAGGAGAGGGACCTGGTAAGCCCACTTAAATTAGGTGATGCAGTAAGGCTTTTGGCCCCCTACCTAGCAGAGTGAGCTCCGGTATTTGCTAACTGTTGTTATAGACACAGAATAAACCCTGGAGAGCAGAGATTAGGAGAAAAGGCACTCCAGGAATAAGAATTGGCATGGATAAAAGTGCAGTCAGTACAGGCATGGTTTGGTGATGACATTCTGGAGGGTTTTTACTTCTAAAGAAATCCAGAATAGTGCAGTGCTTGAGTCACCTTTGCAGGTAGCCTGTGAAATTCAGGCTCACATGTGAGGAGGAATGAGCTTGGGCTTTGTAATCCTCATGCGTATTCTGTACCTGCTTATACACCAGTACCACAGACCTGTCTGTGGCCACGGGGAGCTTTGTAAGCTCAGGTAAGTCACTCATCCCAATGAGCTGGGGGCAATAACGGTACCTACTCTTCAGGGCTGTTGTATGAAATGAGGCATGTATACTCTTAGCATCAAGTCAGCAACATAGTAAGTGCTAAATAAACTCTCTTGTCTATCTCATTAGCCAGCATCCGTTTGTTGAAGGCCACCAAGATCTGTGTGACAGGCAAAAACAACTTCCAGTCCTACAGCTGTGTGAGGTGCAATTACACAGAGGCCTTCCAGACTCAGACCAGACCCTCTGGTGGAAAAGTAAGCATTTTGAGGAACTTGGTTAATTGTCATTAAAGCTGGGAAGGCCTTTTGCTTGGGGATGTAGATGATGTGCTACCCACAAAGGCTGGTGTGCAGCTACAACTTCAGCCTAGAGCATGTGCCTGGGCTCAAAGCCTGGTTTTGGACACTTATCTGCTGTGTGCCTTGGGCAAGTCAGCATCTCTTGGCCTCATTTTCCCCCTCAGCAGAGTGCGGGGAGCTGAACTTAGACTATATCCTGGCTCTAAAATTTTATGCTTCTCTGATTCTGGGAGTTACAATGAAAATTGTGTGGGGTCAATTCCCTAAGCAGACATTGACTAGAGACCTAGGTTTCAGCAGTAAGTTGAGGAATAAAACTCTAAATGAAAAGGACAATACAAAACTATTATGTTTTTTGCATCACAGTATTTCAGAAATTCAGGAGATCCTTGCTTTGCCTTTCAGTGGATGTTTTCCTACGTTGGCTTTCCCATAGAGTTGAACACACTCTACTTCATTGGGGCCCATAATATCCCCAATGCAAATATGAATGAAGACAGCCCCTCCTTGTCTGTGAATTTCACCTCACCAGGTAAACTTCCTCACTCTTCTGTCTTCCTGAGATGCTTGCTTTGGGTATGTAGTTTGGTATAGAGAGGTCGGGGTACCCTGGACAAGGTGTTTGGCCTTGTCAAGTCTTGAAACATGGACACAATAGTAACTGTACCGACCGAGAGTGGAGAAGAGGTAAACTTAGGAAAAAGACCATTTCTGTGTGGTGGGTACTGTGCTGAGCACTTGACATGCATCATGTCATTTAAGCCTCTAACAGCTCCAAGGTTGGGATAGCCCTGTATAACAGGTGAAGAAACTTCTCAAGTAACTTGGCCTGGGTTACACACACAGTAAAAGAGAAGCTGATATTCAAACCCTGGTCCTTCTTGATCCACGCACTTTAGACACTCTGTCATTTATGCAAAACGTTTCTCAGTCTTGCTTCGTAACATGCTGTGTTGTTTGATAGCATGCTCCTCAATCTCTGAGGATGTACAGCCACCAGTAGGCTCATCCCCTGAACTGTCAGCGAGAAGCAGTGTGGCCCCAAGTTGAATGCTGGTTTTTTTCTCCTATTATATGGCATACAGTCAGGTCTCTAGTGTTACACCTGCAATGTCACACACACTGCAATGAGGATGAGACAGGGTCATGTGTGACAGGGTCCAGTATGGTGTCTGGCTACAGCGGTTCCCACACCACCCCCATCTGGGATGGGTCACCTCTTCTCTACCCTATGCCTGTTCTCTGTCTCAGGTGAGCTTCCAAATGGGCAATTTCTAATCATGTTCTTTGAGATTGTGGTCCCAGATGTTCTTAGTGCCATACCCTACTTTTAAAAATGTAAATGTTTTTATTTTGGAATAATTTTAGATTTATAGAAAAGTTGCCATGATAGTTCTAAGTTTCCATATACCCCTCACCCAGTTTCCCTTATCAGCAACATCTCATATTACCATGGGACATTTGTCACAACTAGGAAACCAACATTTGTGCATTTCTGTTAACTATGCTCTAGACTTTATTTGGATTTCACCTGCTGTTCCATTAATGTCCTCTTTCTGTTTTAGCTGCATTTTGTCTGTTGTGTCTCCTTAGTCTCCCTTGGTCTGTGACAGCTTTTTAGTCTTTCTTTGTTCTTCATGACCTTGACAGTCTTGGGGAGCACTGGCCAGCATCTTGGGAAACATCCCCTAGTCTGAGTACACTGCAGGGATGAGCCACCCTTCCCATGGCATCCTATCGGGGCATGTGGCATCCATGCATCATGGGTGGTGTTTACTTTTATCACTTGGTGAAGTGGCATCTGGCAGACCTCTGCATGTAAATCTACTATTTTTCCCCTTCCCAAGTCTAGTTTTTGGAAACAAATCACTAAGCCCACCATCCTACGGTGGGAGTGTGGGGTGGATTAAGCTCCACCTACTAGAAAGGGCCCTATTTACACATATTACCAAATCTCATTTTAAAGGACCGTTTGAATCTTCTCCTGGGGATCATAGATCCTGTTGTGATAAAGACTATATTGAAATTAGACTCTGGTCACCACATCATGGTTAGATAATCTTCTGTTTAACAGTAAAATGTTAGTGTCCTATTTAAATCTGCAATCTTACCTCACATCTCGAATATTCTGACAATTCATATGGGTGTGGTAAGCATATATGTGTGTTTACTTGTTGGCAAGGGGTGGAGCAGAGGTATCTTTTCTGAAATGTAAAAACTTTCATTCAAATTTCCAGGCTGCCTAGACCATGTAATGAAATACAAAAAAAAGTGCATTGAGGCAGGTAAGTAAATACATAATTTGCTTTTGTTTCTTAAAGAAACTCATAACTTGAGCCAGCACAACTCAATCCATCTTCCATGAAGACACTGAGGTTGAGTTTCTCTGCCCACTGAATCAAACATCCAGTCTGTCCAGGGAAGGACAGACCCTTAGTGGGGTTTCGTAGTGAGCAACACTCACAGAAAAAATGCCCCACCCCAGTGGCTGAACCAACAATTTAGCTCAAACCACATTGATGATGGTGCCGCTTATAAGCTGTTCCTGACTGGAGGGGTGATCCATAAGTCCTTCCACCTGCTCATACACCAATACCACTGACCTGTGGTCATGGGGACTCTGAGAACCTGCTTGGATTAACAAACATTCAAGGTGGGAGTGTTAGCTGAAGTAATGAACCAACAGCATGTTCTCAACCTGTGTCCTCACAGGGGTCATCTCTTGCATGCTAGGCTACTAGAACCTGCCCCTACTCTTTGCATTTTGAAATCAGACCCTTCACGACAAACAGTCCCAGGTGTCAAATTTCCAAGGATTGTACAAGGACTTGCGTAAATTTCTGGGTAATATAGTCTTAGGATGCTGAAGAAGTTAGAGGTATTTGGGGGAATTGGTCCCCATCTTTTACAAACCCCCATCCCATAAGGAATCCCTGTGCACCCTGTCAGACTGATCTATATGTGGTCTCCTTGTTGGCAGACTTGAGCATTGTGCCGAGAGTATGGAGTATGGAGGGCAATGGTGATGTGAAGAGGTCTGGGGGCCTTCAGTCAGTCCTAGAGCCACTCCCAAAGGCCACCTGAGCTAGGGCCTGAAATGGTCTCCTAGATGGGGAACATAATGCATGCTATTATATATTACCTTCCTGGAAATTAACCTAGTGCTGATTTGCAAGTCTCATGAGTGAAACAACTGGCTTCTTCTCAGGGAGTAGATCTGTCAGGGAATCCTGTGAGGCATTTCCTTTTTTCTTCACATCTAGCAAAGCTGGCAGAGTAGTTCAAAGGATGAAGCCCCTAGAACCCCAGGATGTTCTAGTAGTTATAGTCCTGACCCTGAATCCATTTGCTCTATAATCTTAGACAAATCCCCAACACATGGCTTGTCCTCCCCATCCTGGAAAGGAGAAAACACTGATCCCAGCCCTTAAGTCAAAATGGACATTGAGAACAGAAGTGAGCAGCAGAACCCAGTCTATACTGCCCACCATCCTCAGCCTGGGGAAGTGGAGCAGTGACTTGAGGTCCTTAAAATTTGTGGGCAGCAGCTACTTTGAGATTCTGGGAGCAATGACAAATAAAAAGTACACTGTATAGTGCAGCCTGCATCTCTTGGATGTGTGCCTGGGGACTTGTATTTGTTTTTGTTAAGCCCTTTGGGGGACGTAGATGAAGGAAGAGTTTGCAACTTCATCTGTGTGATTCTCTCTTGATAGGAAGTCTCTGGGACCCAAATATCACTGCTTGTAAGAAGGACGAGAAGACAGTAGAAGTCAATTTTACAACCAGTCCCCTTGGAGACAAATACGTGGCTGTTATCCAAAATAACTTTTCAACTGCAAGTTCTTCGCTGGAGGTACTCTTTCCCTTCATTTCCTTAACACCACCCATCCTCAACCTCCAGCTTTCCTTACCTTACTGAAGAAAAACATATGCACTCCAGGATTCCCTGGACAGGCTCTCTTTTAAGAGACCATAGACAGAACTGTCTACTGTCCAACTGTGCTGGGTGATTTTGATTAATTCAACAGAGAAAAATAAGTCTATGGGTGCATCACTGGAAATGTCCCTCTGATTCTAAGTTGAAATACAGGTAGAGAGAAGGTCAGAAGTATGAAATGAATCTGCATTCATATAGTCTAATGAATTGAAAGTCATTTTGAGAAGAGTGGTTTCTTCACTGGCAGTCATTGATCTACTCACTCATACAGTTCCTAACTACTGATTTTGTCTTAGTTATCTGCACGGAGCAAACTAACTCGAACTTCTATCATGGTTCCAGTGACTGAGGACAGTGAAGGTGCTGTGGTCCAGGTACAGTTCAGTGAGGAGCTTTGGGGAGGGGAAGACTGATTTCTACACCGTTAATTGCTTTTGACGAGTCCTTTCAAAACTGGAATAGGTGAGCTCTCTCCTGTTCATTTCTGCCAGCAGTCTTACATTAAGTGATGTTAATGGGCAATTCTTGTCTTAGTTTTTACAGTGGTGAGGTCAGGAAGCTGACCTTACAGTTACGGTGTCTTATGCTTTTTTATTAGTGGCTGTTGACTTTCCAAAATGCTTTTATTTCCATGTTCTGTCACAAAGCCAATGAGTAATTCTCAGACAGGAGTACCATTTTATTTTCCCAAGCTTCAGTTTCAACTGTAAAATGAAGTGTTAAAATCATGTGAAATGTGAAGGCTTGGTTTCCTGATTAGTGTGTGAACTTTGAAGGGCAACTGCCTGTCCTCACAGGGCCTCAGTTTACTCAGATAGACAATAGGAAATTGAGCTCTGGCTGGTGTGGCTCAATTGGTTGGAGCATCGCCCCATAACCGAAAGGTTGTGGGTTCAGTCCCTGATCTGGGTGCGTATGGGAGGGAACCAATCGATGCTTCTCTCTTACGCTAATGTTTCTCTCTCCCTTCCTCTCTCTCTAAAAGCAATGAAAAAAAATGTCTTTGGGTGAGGATTAAAAAAACAAAAATAGAAGTTAAGACTAGCAGATGCTCTCTGGTCTCATTCAAATCTGAGTTTATGATGTGAGCCATGGAGGGTCTCAGTGAGCTACAGCCTTACCCAAGATATAAGGAGCTTTTCCTTTTCTTTCTCTGGAACATAAAGGCAGAACCTTGCCGTGCCAGCTGCCTGTCTACATCCTCCTCCAGGGAACCAGACTTTCCTAGTCCCAGGGTACTTTCATGTCATAAAGCATGACTTAATAGGAGCTCTACTGCTGTTTGTTCTTTTGAGGAAATACTTGTATATACCTAGTGTAACCTAACCTGTTTAGATATGGAAACTGACATGTTAGCTGCATTTAGTTTAGGTTCAGACCCCAGGAAACTTAAAAGGTGCTTCAGTCTTTGGACACTGGTTTGGACTTGAGGTCTTTACCACTGAAGTGTGACCAAGGGGAAAAAAAGTCCTATTACAAGAGGGAGCAGCAGGGTTGAAACCAGGAAAAAAGGGGAAGAGAAGTTTCAGTGGAAGTAGGAATAATGGTGAGATTTTGTTCTGCAGTGTGGTGGAACTTTCTGATCCTCTTGTTTTCCCTCAGTTGGTTCCGTATTTCCATACTTGTGGCTATGACTGCATCCGTCGCAAAGGAACTGTTGTGCTTTGCCCACAAACAGGTGGCTCCTTCCCTCCAGATAACAGTGAGTGCCCAGTCATTGTCACAGGATGATCGGAGAGGTTCACAGCAGGAAGGGCCAGCTGTCACCACTGCCCCATTCAATATGTGACAGGGTGTGTGGGGGATGTGACAGAGTCCCTGCCTGTGTATGCAGGCAAAGATGTCAGAGCTGAATAAGATGAAATTTTATTTATAAAATTGCCTTGCGATCCTTTATAAAGCAGAATATACACAAGGGGAAAAAATAAACAGTGCGGAATGGATGTTTAGAGCCACGAGGATCTGCTTAAAAAGTCAAGAGCATAAAAGGACTGAGTTTATAAAGGAACATGCACTTCACTGCATTTTTCGTATCTTATCAGTCTGAGTGGCCCAGGCCTACCTGTTGCTATAACTTGATGGGATCATGTGGCCAACATTTGGATAACAAAGTAGTATACTGGCACTGAAAGACACGCCTCACTGGTGCCTGAGAGCAGCATGTTCTGGAAAATGTGTCTCTGGGTTTAGAGATGTTAGTACTTCCACTTACAGATGGACAAATAAAATGTTCTAGAATTAGCCCAGGGATGGGGCCAAAACTTGGAAGGTGTTATTTTTAGAAACTTAGCCAAACCAACTAACAACAATCCAGGTGCCTAACAGTCCTGACTCTGTGTGGGCACAGTGCCCCTGGGTCCCTGAGCACATCTGGGAGCCAGAGCTTACCTGATCCTTGACATCCTGTGAGGAGGTGGCTTTATCCCCCACATTTCCTGTCTTACAGAACAACCTTTAAAAATGCATGTATGTGTATTACATATTAAGTAATTGCACCCAGAATAAAGTTAATTCATCAAAGAACAAAAAAACAAATGTAAACTCTAGTTACATTAGTATAAATATGGAGTAAGAAGCCAAAGTGATTTTAGAGAACTAGTCTTAATCTCCTCTCATATCCTGAGAATCAAATAATAGATCTGGACACTAGAAAAACACACTATTCTTCAGACCCCTTAGAGACCTATTGATCCTTGGTTTTAAAGGGGTCTGAATTTCTGCAAAAAGAGCAAAAATCTTAGCTTCCAAGTAGGAGGTAATTTGGTTTTGTTTTGCTCAAGGTGATAAGCTTTGTTTTCTTCAGGCAGACATGTGCCAAGTGGCTGGCTCCCTCTCCTCCTCCTGGCTCTGCTGGTGGCCACATGGGTGCTGGCGGTTGGGATCTATCTAACGTGGAAATGTGGTAAGGGTTATGATGCCATGCATCGAAGAAACCTGCTTTTGAAGGAGATTCCTCTAGAGGCAGTCACATTTTGGCATTGGACAGGAGTCAGATAGCATTTATTTAATGTCTTAAGAGATCTCCTGAAAAGACATACACTGACTGGATTGTATCTGCTAAGTAAGGTAAAGCAGGGATCAGGACCTCCAGATCTGGTGACTAGCATCTGTTTCATTTTTACCATTCAGGCATCGACAGGTACTGAAATGGGCAGACAGCTAACAAGGAATGGCAGTGTGTCTGTGATAGGTACTCTCTGCTAGTTCCTACTTTTTATAAAAAATAATTCTTACAAGGTGTAACACCAGTTACTTGGTTTCATATAATCTAAGGACCTTGCCAACATTAAAACATTGAGGATTGCCTACAGAAGCCAGACTCTGTACATAGCTGACTAGAGCGTGGTACACTGAAAGCTTCTGCTTCTCCTCCTCTCCATGTGGAAAAAAGGAAATAAAAATGCAGACTGTGAGTCTCTGTGATGGTGTAGATAGACCGAGATTAATCTCATGATCTACACTAAGAAAGCCATGTGGAACTTTGACCTCAGGAATACTGACACTCAGAAGATACCGTGTGGCCTGTCATTGGTTATAGTACTTTCAAAGGTAGCCTGTGTTCACTAGCACACAGAGGGCACCATTCCAGTTAAGTTCCAGCTGAAATGGGGCACCACTGAACCTTAAGGAGTGGTAAAGAAACTCTACCACCTGCAGGTAGAAAACGGAACTACTGAGTTGACCCAACTCCAAACACGAAGGGCAGCAGTCAGGTTGTTCCTGTTTACATGCCTATGGTACTAAAAACACCCAAGTTCAACAACCCACATAAAACAGAGTACCTTAAACCGGAACAATTCCTATGAATTTACCTGAAAAGGTATGGCTTGATTAAGAGAACTGATTTAGTGGCCAGGACTTAGAAAATACAGCTTTTACATCTTTACAGTGAAAGCCTGTCATTTGCTGTTCATAGATGACAAATGCTTTTCTCTCTCCACAGAAAGGAACAGGACTTCCTTCCCTACCACTGTGCTACTGCCCCTCATTAAGGTTCTTGTGGTTTACCCATCTGAAATATGTTTCCAGCACACGGTTTGTTACTTCACTGAATTTCTTCAAAATCATTGCAGAAGTGAGGTTATCCTTGACAAGTGGCAGAAAAAGAAAATAGCTGAGATGGGTCCCGTGCACTGGCTTACCACTCAGAAGCAAGCAGCAGACAAAATCATTTTCCTTCTTTCCAATGATGTCAACACTGTATGTGATGGTACCTGTGGCAAGAGCGAGGGCAGCCCCCGTGAGAACTCCCAAGACCTGTTCCCCCTGGCCTTTAACCTCTTCTGCAGCGATCTGAGAAGCCAGACTCATGTGCACAAATACATAGTGGTCTATTTTAAAGAGGCTGATACCAAAGACGATTACCATGCTCTCAACGTCTGCCCCAAGTACCGCCTCATGAAGGAAGCTACCGCTTTCTGCACAGAACTTCTCCATGCTGAGCAGCACAGGTCAGCACGAAAAAGGCTGCGAGCCTGCCACAACAGCTGCTCCTTTGTGTAGCCCTCCCATTAGAAATGAGAACTTGAAGGCTTCCTACCCCTCCAATTTGAAAAAGCTTCTGTGATGATTGTGAAGTTTATTGTATGGGTGACTTGTAGGGAGGATTTTATATATACCTGCATTAGCAAAAGGAATAGGGAGGACTCATAACAAGATACGTGCTTTAGTCTAGCAATTAAACTTTTATGCCAATACTTAAAATATTACTGGCTACTGTAGTATTAACTAAAGAATGGAAACTAAATTTATAGTTATAAAGCTAAATCATTTTCATAACTAAAAATCAAGAATAGTTATAATGTAAAACTGTAACCATCCTGACAATGCAGTAAGAAACATCTTCCAACTGAATGTGTGATCTTGAATTGTCTGTGCCTTGCCTTGGAGGTAGAATTGTTTACTTTTGTAACATTCTAAGTTTAATGAATGCCAAATTTCGTAAGCCCTTGTTAATTCACTCAATAACTTCTTAGGTAAAAACCCTGTTACACACGTCTTTATTTTTAATATAAAAATATAACCCATCTTTGCTCATCAGATGACCTAGTATATGTGTAACCGATTGTATTATTTGGTGTTTTTGTAAGACCATCCCTCTCTGAACTAGGTTAATGTCCTATCTGCTTGTTGTACAGGTAACTTTAACATGAACACCAATACACATGTGGACCTGTTGTCTACTTCTGCCCTCTTAGCTGTTAGAGGTTATTGTCATAGTTCAGAGTTTTTTGGTTATTACATTAACTTTTTGGGTTTAGAAACAAAAATTCCTATTATGTTGGAAGATAACTCTCAAAGTAGTTTTATAAATGAGTTATTATAATGGCTAACTTAAGTTAAAAAAAAAAAAACTACCACCACAGACTTACAGAACACAAGAGTTAATGTGGTATTTTGAGCCTTCTAACTTTTTTTATTTTCCGAAAAGCATCTTTTTCTTATTTTAGGTTACCAAAAGGTTATATGTATTAACACATGTGTTTTTCTAAGAATACCAGTTTTTTCACACAATGTAATACTGAATATGCTCTAGAATGTGGACCAGTTTCAAGTAGATGACTGCTAAAATGTATCTGTAGATTATTTTTAAAGGGTCATGCCACACCTAATACATGTCCTAAGCATAAAATAAAAGCCAAAATAACTAAGCATAGAATGAAACCTCACCGTGTCCTGCTTTACCAGCAGATACTTAGCAATCACTCAGGCAATATGTTTAATGTGGTAAAGGTCACACATTTGTCAGGATCAGTCCTCATGGTGCTTAAAAGTGCTGGTAATAGAAGATGAACACGGCTTATATCAAAACTTAGGCCAGAAGCCACTTCCTCTGAATCAACATCTACCAGTTATAACAGCAATAAGCTATTACATGGAAAACTATTAAAAACAGAAATACATTATGCTTTTGGAACTAGGTAGCCAACACTACATTGTGTTGAAACAGCTCAGAAACATATGAAATCAATATTGTATAAATTTATTGTTGAAAATTTCTTAAATCAAAGAATATACAATTTTCAAATTGAAGACATACATTCCAAATAGTAGCAAGTGAAATTTTGTTATATTGGTGGGCTCTCCCTTGTTCCTAACCTACTAGGTGGATACAAAGGATACTCTTATTAAAGCAAAATGCTCCACTACCAGCATTGCTCCCTGTCCTAAGACTTCTTACCATTCTTACTCTATATCCCACTCTTATCCCCACCCCTTAATTGCTCCTATGTTTGTCTTTTTCCCAGTCCCACCTCCAGTTCTTGACAGAGAGAAAAGAAGCAAGCGCAAGAGCCTGGAAGAAATCAGGTATCCCCTGATCCCCCCAGGTCTCTGAGCCCTCAAGCTGTGCTCCTGTCTCCAGACAAGGCCTTCTCTTCCTTAGGCCAGGGGCTCAGAAGGCTTCAGTAAGGCAGCAATAACTCTGTTATTTACTGTTTGCTTGATTGCTCACAGATCAAGGTCAATTGATCATACTGAACACAAAGAACTCCAAATACTGCCCCTGGGTTCTTCAGGTAAAGGAAAACTGGGGGTGGGGTGAGGGGTGCTTTATGATTAAGTCAGTAGTAACCGCAACCATCGCCTTGCTTACCTGTACAACACATACTAACAACTCTCAATTACTCCTAAATCATTTGTTTGGCTTTAGGAAGGAAACAAATTTTCCTTTTCTGTTTTGGTCAAGTAATGACTATTTTCTTTTCCCAAGGCTATCCTCGGGCATGTTGGGTATGAAAGACAGCCAGCCTAGTCTTAAACCTCTGCCTTGATAAACCTAGACCTGCATGGGCTCCCATAGTTTTTGTAATCCAACAGAAAATTTTAAAAAACCAAAAAAAACTCTTTTTCTTATTTGGAATTCCAAAAGCACATGAGTCACATCATATGTGCTTGCCATTGCAAACAGGGAAAATATCATGACCATACAGTGTTCACAATTCAGGCCCCAAGTCACACCCCCGCCCCCTCACAGTTGAAGGACACTGTCTCATGACACTCAACAGTCAGCTTAAATGAGAGCTTCACCATTTGACAACTGCTCAACCATCTGCCATCACTGGGGAGTTTCTGAGACCCTGAGAAGGGGCAGAAAAGCTTACCACACTTTTCCTCAAATGTCCTGATACAGAAGCAGCTTGTAATTTCACACCAATGTCAGGTCCTCAATATAAGATTTATAATTGTAGGTCAATAAATAAAAAATACATATTCTATAAGAGTCTTTAGTATCAAGAGGCTTGTTTTGGGTCTCCTTCAAGAGTGACTTTTTCCGGCCCACTTCACCACACAAAGGCAGCTCGCTCTCGTAACATGCGGACACCAAAGCGCTGCCATTCTCGCTGATAGATCCATAGTTCCTGTGTCGTATCCAAACAAGCCAGCACTGCCCCCCCTTTCCATGCAATCAGCCGGGGGTCCATGTCCTAGAGCAGTGATAAAGACATGTCAGCACTCACACACAAGACATACACTTAATAATTTATTTGAATTTTGGGGTGGAAAAAATCCTGCTGAGTCAAGAACTAATAAGTTAGATTTTCAACCTATGCTAGACCCCTGAACTTACATTACAGGTGTCTTTATTTCAGCTGACAAGAGAACTTTTTAGTTTTTATTACTGAGACTGCTACTATTCACTATTATTACACAGTCATCCCTGAAGGCAGAATATATGTAAGAAAATAAGTAACTTTTAAGTTTGAGTAGAATAAATATATCCTACAATCTCTTCCTCAGGATTAAAATTAAGAACATTCCCAGGAATTGTCCATGAGATATAATGTAATATAGGCACAATCTGTTTCTCAATTACTAGGCTTGTATTTCCAGACAGTTCAAGCCTAAAAGATTCTTAAAGATCACCTGGTCCAGGGACCAGCAGCAGTTCCTTAATATGAGAGAGATCACAGCGGAGTTGTTCTGACTGATGGTGTGACATGGGTCAGTCTTCCCCCTGCTCCACCATCCTTCCCAAGGCAGAGTCAGCCCTGCTAGCTTCAGAGAGCACAGCAGGGACTTAAACCCAGGAACCTAGTCCCCCTCATCCAAGCTCCTTTCCCCACACCTGTGACCTGCTGTAAGTAATAATTCCACTTGACCCAAATCCTTAAGAACTCCCAGGCACAAACTTATGACTTCTAGGATTTTATCTGCCCACACACATTAGAATCAGAAATAATCAATGCTGATTTCATTTGCATACAGTTTAACCTGCACCATCAACATACCTTAGGCCTTGTGATTACTTCCACATTTTCAATAATTCGCCTGAACGAAGGTGGCATTTTGTTGAGAATTCTGTGCTGCAGAAATTCTTGTGCTTTATGAAACATCAAACCACCTCCCACCACCAGGATGGAGCTGTACATCTTCTTTTTGGTATCATCAGATGCTGCAAAGACAGTGAAAGCCCTTCCCAGCTTTTTCTCCGTATGTACCACCACCCTCGGCCAAAACAACATCATGTCTTGCTTGGGTAACTTTCTCAAAGTTCTCTCTAACCTCTCCTCAACAACGCAGCCAGAGTAACCTTGCCAACACAAATGTGAGCAGGTTGCTGTCCCTACCTTGCTACTTGCAGCATGAACAAAATCTCTAAGGGGGCCTAAAAAGTCCAGTGTGGTGTGTACTCAATTCTCTAGCTTCATCCTCACACCCTGTGTCCCAGCCATTCTGGCCCTCATAGCCTTCTTCCTCAGCCTGGAATGCCACCCATCTGACTGGCCAGTCAGATCTGCCCAGATCTCTGTCAAGTGGCTCTTCCCCAAGGAAGCTTCTCTGACTTCCACCCTCCACAACTCCCCCTATGGAGTAAAAATCCCTTATTAAACCCCTCAATCAGCACCCTTTAGTTCAATTTTGTTGCACCTGCCAGTTATAATTTCACATTTGTGTGGTAATTTGCCTTATTTTGGTCTCCTCCAACAAGGCCAGGAACCAATGCCCAACACCCAACAATGTAAGCACAAGGCAGGTGCTTGACTGTTTTTGAATGTTATGCAGCACTGCACAACCATAACCTAGTTTGAACCTATTCCTTTAACTGCTATCTCTCAGCTTCCCCCAATGTGCTTACAACAGCAGTCTATGCTATGAAGGATGGCTTTATCCAGGCCCAGTGCTTTCCCTTCAAACAGCGAGATGGCAGTCTTTCTTGACATCAGAGCAGTGAGGGCCTCCTCAGAGTCATTGCCAGCCATCAGACAGTCTCCCTGGGAGGATCCCAAATCCACCTCCTGGGAATGGAGTCTTTCTGGAAGATCAGAGGACTGCCCACGAAGATCTCCTTCAAATCCAATGGGTTTGGATGCAGACTTTCGGTCAGCAGTAGCTTTTGCAGACTTTAGATCAATGAAAAGGACAATCAAGTAGATGATATGATTAAGACAGAACATTGCCGATGTTCTCCGGCTATACCTCCCGCCACTAGATCAGGGGGACCCCTTGTAGTACAAGTTTCCCCAGCTAGGTGAGTGTTCCAGGAACCCATGTGTATCAGTGTGCCAGCTGGTGTTGTTGTGAGAGGTTGCATTTAGCTTCAGTGGATTTTGAAGACTCTTTCAACACATCTGCCCGTTTCATGATGGGTGACTTACAAGTGCACCAGCCCATACCGCACTGAGTGTTCAGCAGTGTTTGACAAAACACGTCATGGTCCTCGTGCCTCACCCTCCCTATTCACCTGATCTCACCCTGAGCAAGATCAATTTTGTTTGTTTTCCTGATGAAAAAAAAATCCTCAAAGTGAAATGTTCTGTTGATGTGGATATGGAAAAAGTGAAACAAAAAATGGCAGAAACACAAATAGGCATCAAAATTGACTAGTTCAGAAACTGTTTTGAGCAGTGAAAAAAAAAGTCTTGATAGGTAGGTGTATTGAATCAAATGGAGAGTACTTTAAAGGTGATTGAAGTTTAAACACATAAGAATAAATACACAATTTTTTATAAATAAATTCTGGGTTTTTTGCCCCCCCCCACCCATACACTACTATACACTAAGTCCTGAGGGGGTAACCTTCCCCTGCAAAAACAAAACACCTTAGGCGTGATGCAGAGAGGAAATACATCAGAGTATACAACCACCCACTTGGGAGTGAGGGGTGATGGACAGAAGAGGATGCACTGACAATTTTAAAGGAGTCCCTGGCAGGGAAGGCAGGTCTCAGAACCTTAATATTATGGATTAGAATTTAAAATTGAGATGTCAAGTGTAGACAAGCTTTTCTTCCCTTGAATTGAGTTTTTAAGTGGAGTATTTTAGTGGAATTCTTGAGCCAGTGACTGTTACAAAATTCTCATTTCAGACCTTTTCTAATCACTTTGTGCCCCTCTTTGGGACAGGGAAGAGGACTAGAAAACACTTACAGCCCTCTTCCCTCCACCATGAGCTGCTGTTTTATTAGCAGGTAATAACCTGCCCTTGCATTAGACTTCCTGTTACTGGGATTAGCATTGGACAAAGAAATCTAGCTTTTTGCCTATGCCACACACCTCTCACATATTATAATTAAATATAGGTGAAATTTTACTAGAAATATTAACTATGGATGAATATTCAAAAGTAATTCCACTAATTTAACCTTTCAATGTGTGGACTGGTACTCTGAGAATTAAATGAATACCTGCTGAACAAAAAAATCTGTCATCCAGATTTCAAAT